CGTCAGGTTCCCCATCAGGTTCCCCATCAGGTTCCCCACCCCATCAGGTTCCCCACCCCATCAGGTTCCCCACCCCATCAGGTTCCCCATCAGGTTCCCCATCAGGTTTCCCATCAGGTTCCCCATCAGGTTCCCCATCAGGTTCCCCATCAGGTTCCCCACCCCATCAGGTTCCCCATCAGGTTCCCCACCCCATCAGGTTTCCCATCAGTTTCCCCACCCCATCAGGTTCCCCATCAGGATCCCCACCCCATCAGGTTCCCCATCAGGTTCCCCATCAGGTTCCCCACCCCATCAGGTTTCCCATCAGTTTCCCCACCCCATCAGGTTCCCCATCAGGTTCCCCACCCCATCAGGTTCCCCATCAGGTTCCCCATCAGGTTCCCCATCAGGTTCCCCATCAGGTTCCCCATCAGGTTCCCCATCAGGTTCCCCATCAGGTTCCCCATCAGTTTCCCCATCAGGTTCCCCATCAGGTTCCCCATCAGGTTCACCATCAGGTTCCCCATCAGGTTCCCCATCAGGTTCCCCATCAGGTCCCCATCAGGTTCCCCATCAGGTTCCCCTTCTGGTTCCCCATCAGGTTCGCCAACAGGTTCCCCATCAGGTTCCCCATCAGGTTCCCCGTCAGGTTCCCCATCAGGTTCCCCATCAGGTTCCCCACCCCATCAGGTTCCCCACCCCATCAGGTTCCCCATCAGTTTCCCCACCCCATCAGGTTCCCCATCAGGTTCCCCATCAGGTTTCCCATCAGGTTCCCATCAGGTTCCCCATCAGGTTCCCATCAGGTTCCCCATCAGGTTCCCCATCAGGTTCCCATCAGGTTCCCCATCAGGTTCCCCATCAGTTTCCCCATCAGGTTCCCCATCAGGTTCCCCATCAGGTTCCCCATCAGGTTCCCCATCAGGTTCCCCATCAGGTTCCCCAGCAGGTTCCCCATCAGGTTCCCCATCAGGTTCCCCATCAGTTTCCCCATCAGTTTCCCCATCAGGTTCCCCATCAGGTTCCCCATCAGGTTCCCCATCAGGTTCCCCATCAGGTTCCCCACCCCATCAGGTTCCCCATCAGGTTCCCCACCCCATCAGGTTTCCCATCAGTTTCCCCACCCCATCAGGTTCCCCAGCAGGTTCCCCATCAGGTTCCCCATCAGGTTCCCCATCAGTTTCCCCATCAGTTTCCCCATCAGGTTCCCCATCAGGTTCCCCATCAGGTTCCCCATCAGGTTCCCCATCAGGTTCCCCACCCCATCAGGTTCCCCATCAGGTTCCCCACCCCATCAGGTTTCCCATCAGTTTCCCCACCCCATCAGGTTCCCCATCAGGTTCCCCACCCCATCAGGTTCCCCATCAGGTTCCCCATCAGGTTCCCCACCCCATCAGGTTCCCCATCAGGTTCCCCACCCCATCAGGTTTCCCATCAGTTTCCCCACCCCATCAGGTTCCCCATCAGGTTCCCCACCCCATCAGGTTCCCCATCAGGTTCCCCATCAGGTTCCCCATCAGGTTCCCCATCAGGTTCCCCATCAGTTTCCCCATCAGGTTCCCCATCTGGTTCCCCATCAGGTTCCCCATCAGGTTCCCCATCAGGTTCCCCATCAGGTTCCCCATCAGGTTCCCCATCAGGTTCCCCATCAGGTTCCCCATCAGGTTCCCCATCAGGTTCCCCATCAGGTTCCACATTAGGTTCCCCACCCCATCAGGTTCCCCATCAGGTTCCCCATCAGGTTCCCCATCAGGTTCCCCATCAGGTTCCCCATCAGGTTCCCCATCAGTTTCCCCATCAGTTTCCCTATCAGGTTCCCCATCAGGTTCCCCATCAGGTTCCCCATCAGGTTCCCCATCAGGTTCCCCATCAGGTTCCCCATCAGGTTCCCCATCAGGTTCCCCATCAGGTTCCCCATCAGGTTCCCCATCTGGTTCCCCATCAGGTTCCCCAACAGGTTCCCCATCAGGTTCCCCATCAGGTTCCCCGTCAGGTTCCCCATCAGGTTCCCCATCAGGTTCCCCATCAGGTTCCCCATCAGGTACCCCATCAGGTTCCCCAACCCATCAGGTTCCCCATCAGGTTCCCCATCAGGTTCCCCATCAGGTTCCCCATCAGGTTCCCCATCAGGTTCCCCATCAGGTTCCCCATCAGGTTCCCCATCAGGTTCCCCAACAGGTTCCCATCAGGTTCCCCATCAGGTTCCCCATCAGGTTCCCCATCAGGTTCCCCATCAGGTTCCCCATCAAGTTCCCCATCAGGTTCCCCAGCAGGTTCCCCATCAGGTTCCACATTAGGTTCCCCACCCTATCAGGTTCCCCATCAGGTTCCCCATCAGGTTCCCCATCAGGTTCCCCATCAGGTTCCCCATCAGGTTCCCCATCAGGTTCCCCATCAGGTTCCCCATCAGTTTCCCCATCAGGTTCCCCATCAGGTTCCCCATCAGGTTCCCCATCAGGTTCCCCATCAGGTTCCCCATCAAGTTCCCCATCAGGTTCCCCATCAGGTTCCACATTAGGTTCCCCACCCCATCAGGTTCCCCATCAGGTTCCCCATCAGGTTCCCCATCAGGTTCCCCATCAGGTTCCCCATCAGGTTCCCCATCAGGTTCCCCATCAGGTTCCCCATCAGTTTCCCCATCAGGTTCCCCATCAGGTTCCCCATCAGGTTCCCCATCAGGTTCACCATCAGGTTCCCCATCAGGTTCCCCATCAGGTTCCCCAACAGGTTCCCCATCAGGTTCCCCACCCCATCAGGTTCCCCACCCCATCAGGTTCCCCATCAGGTTCCCCATCAGGTTCCCCATCAGGTTCCCCATCAGGTTCCCCATCAGGTTCCCCATCAGGTTCCCCATCAGGTTCCCCATCAGGTTCCCCATCAAATTCCCCATCAGGTTTCCCATCAGGTTCCCCATCAGGTTCCCCATCAGGTTCCCCATCAGGTTTCCCATCAGGTTCCCCATCAGGTTCCCCATCAGGTTCCCCATCAGTTTCCCCATCAGTCTCCCCATCAGGTTCCCCATCAGGTTCCCCATCAGGTTCCCCATCAGGTTCCCCATCAGGTTCCCCATCAGGTTCCCCATCAGGTTCCCCATCAGGTTCCCCAACAGGTTCCCCATCAGGTTCCCCACCCCATCAGGTTCCCCACCCCATCAGGTTCCCCATCAGGTTCCCCATCAGGTTCCCCATCAGTTTCCCCATCAGGTTCCCCATCAGGTTCCCCATCAGGTTCCCCATCAGGTTCACCATCAGGTTCCCCATCAGGTTCCCCATCAGGTTCCCCAACAGGTTCCCCATCAGGTTCCCACCCCATCAGGTTCCCCACCCCATCAGGTTCCCCATCAGGTTCCCCATCAGGTTCCCCATCAGGTTCCCCATCAGGTTCCCCATCAGGTTCCCCATCAGGTTCCCCATCAAATTCCCCATCAGGTTTCCCATCAGGTTCCCCATCAGGTTCCCCATCAGGTTCCCCATCAGGTTTCCCATCAGGTTCCCCATCAGGTTCCCCATCAGGTTCCCCATCAGTTTCCCCATCAGTTTCCCCATCAGGTTCCCCATCAGGTTCCCCATCAGGTTCCCCATCAGGTTCCCCATCAGGTTCCCCATCAGGTTCCCCATCAGGTTCCCCATCAGGTTCCCCATCAGGTTCCCCATCAGTTTCCCCACCTCATCAGGTTCCCCATCAGGTTCCCCCCATCAGGTTCCCCCCATCAGGTTCCCCCCATCAGGTTCCCCCCATCTAGAGATGAGCAATGGTAACGGGGGTGTGTTATGGTAACCGGGGTGCGTAGTGGTAACGGGGGTGCGTAATGGTAACGGGGGTGCGTAATGGTAACGGGGGTGCGTACTGGTAACGGAGGTGCGTAATGGTAACGGAGGTGCCTAACGGTAACGGAGGTGCGTAATGGTAATGGAGGTGCGTAATGGTAACGGGGGGGCGTAATGGTAACGGAGGTGCGTAATGGTAACGGGGTGCGTAAACGTAACGTAGGTGCGTAACGGTAACGGAGGTGCGTAATGGTAACGGAGGTGCATAATGGTAACGGGGGTGCGTAATGGTAACGGGGGTGCGTAATGGTAACTGAGGTGCGTAATCGTAACGGTTGCGTAATCGTAACGGTTGCGTAATGGTAACGGGGGTGCGTAATGGTAACGGTTGCGTAATGGTAACGGTTGCGTAATGGTAACGGTTGTGTAATGGTAACGGTTGCGTAACGGTAACGGTTGCCTAACGGTAACGGTTGCGTAATAGTAACGGTTGCGTTGTGGTAACGGTTGTGTAATGGTAACTGTTGCGTTATGGTATCGGTTGCGTAATGGTAAGGGTTGTGTAATGGTAACGGTTGCGTAATGGTAACGGTTGCGTAATGGTAACAGTTGTGTAATGGTAACTGTTGCGGAATGGTAACGGTTGCGTAATGGTAACGTTTGCGTTATGGTAATGGGTGCGTTATGGTAACGGGTGCGTTATGGTAACGGGTGCGTTATGGTAACGTGTGCGTTATGGTAACGGGTACATTATGGTTACGGTGCCTTATGGTTGGGGTGCGTTACGGTAACGGGGGTCTGTACGGTAACGGGGGTGCGTTACGGTAACGGGGGTGTGTTACGGTAACGGGGGTGCGTAATGGTAACGGGGGTGCGTAATGGTAACGGGGGTGCGTTATGGTAACGGGCGCTTTATGGTAACGGGCTCTGCAATGCCCTCCAATGCCCTCCAATGCCCTCTGAATCCAATCCGCACGTGTGCATCGATAGCAGGTGCCGGTGGAGAGGGGCATGGCAGTGTCCCTGAGCATACGCATGGTGGCCTCAACTCCCTGCGCCCTTTCCACCTGCCATGCGCTGCATGACTTGCATGACCTGACCCATGCCACGTGTTGCTCCACCACGTGTGCATTGATTGCAGGTGCCAGTGGAGAGGGGCAAGGCAGTCTCATTGAGCGCCCTCAGGACGGACTCAACTCCGAATGCCCGTCCCACCTGCTACCTGTTGCTTCACCCGTCCAATGAGTGCAGGTGCCGGTGGAGAGAGGCAAGGCAGTGTCGCTGAAAACCCTCATGGCGGAGGACACCCCCTTCAGGCGACACGTGGAGAGGGATGCAATGGTGAGTGTTCAGTGCGGTGTAGTCCAGTGCAGTGCAGTATGTGCGTGGGAACAGGTGTGTGGGCATGGCCGACAAGGTAAGCTCAGTGGAGCGAGGCAAGGCAGTGTCGCTGAAAACCCTCATGGGGAGGACACTCCCTTCAGGAGACGCGTGGAGAGGGACGCCTCGGTAAGCTCGTTTACCTGCTGCTATTTCCTTGACGCTCACCATGTTTTCTCTCACCTTCCCGTCATACTCCTCGCTCACTTCTTTCACCATTCGCACACTTTCTTCTCGCCTTCACGTCACGTTCACACGCCCGTACCTATGTTGCACTGCATGCAAACCTCGTCGTCTTGTTCTCTCTTGCCCGTCCGTCCTCCATGCCTCTGCAGCTGCTGCAGTGCGTGGAGTTGGGGCAGCTGTTGGAGGGAACCAACCGCTCCTTCGGTGTGCATGCGGCGGGCATCATCATCTCGCCCGCCTGTTTCCCTCTCTCCCAGGTGGGTGGGTGGGCCAGTACTCCCCTACCTCTCCCATGTCTGCACTATCCTCTTCCCACACGCTCACTCGTTTCCATGATACAATGCACACCCTCATTCTTTCCTCCCTCCTCTCCCTTTCGCTGTATCATCTCTCGAATCGTCTCCCTTCCCTCGTTATGCGATGGCTTCCAATTCCTACGCTCACTAAGTTTCAACCTCTCGTTGACAACCACTGCTCTCACGTCTTAGTGCAAGTCCTGAGGGACCGAAACCCTAGCCAACAGGTGGTGCCAGTGCAGCACGCACCAGGCAACCCCTCCGCTCTCGTCAGCCCGTACGCCATGGAATGGACGATGTGGAGCGCCTGGGTCTGCTCAAGTTCGACATCCTGAGGCTGCACCTTTCCTTGTACCACCCTCCCACTCATCCCTCTCCCAGGTGGTGCCAGTGCAGCACGCACCAGGCAACCCCTCCGCCCTGGTCAGCCAATACGCCATGGATGATGTGGAACGGCTGGGTCTGCTCGAGTTTGACATTCTCGGGCTGCGTGTTTCTCTGTATAACTCCCTTTTACTCATATCCTCTCCAGGTGGTGCCAGTACAACATGCCCCGGGAAATCCCTCCACCCTGGTCAGCCAATACGCCATGGACGATGTGGAACGACTGGGTCTGCTCAAGTTTGACATCCTAGGCCTCCGCAACCTCACCACCGCCCACCTCGCGCGCCTCCTCGCCCAGCGCACGTACGGCGTGTCCCTCCCAGTGATAGAGAAGCTTCCAGTGGAGAACCGCGCTACGTTTGAGCTGCTGTCAGGGGGTGACGTGGACGGGGTGTTTCAGCTGGAGGCGTCTCCTGGAATGAAGAAGGTGGTGCGGGCACTCAAGCCGTCCAGTCTCGCTGATATCTTCGCCATTGTTGCCCTCTACCGGCCTGGGTGAGTGAGTAACTAGAGGGAGGGCTGCTGGGGGGGGGGGAGGGACGTGGACGGGGTGTTTCAGCTGGAGGCGTCTCCCGGCATGAAGAAGGTGGTGCGGGCGCTCAAGCCGTCCAGTCTCGCTGATATCTTCGCCATTGTGGCTCTCTACCGTCCCGGGTGAGTAACCAGAGGAGGGATGAGGATGCATCTACAACCTGGGCGTCTCCTGGCATGAAGAAGGTTGTGCGGGCGCTCAAGCCATCGTGCCTCGCGGATATCTTCGCCATTGTGGCTCTCTATCGCCCCGGGTGAGTGAGTAACCAGAGGGAGGGCTGCTGCCAGGGGGCGATGTGGACGGGGTGTTTCACCTGGAGGCGGGACTGAGGGAGGGAACTGAGGGCGGGAACTGAGGGCGGGAACTGAGGGCAGGAACTGAGGGAGGGAACTGAAGGAGGGAACTGAGGGAGGGAACTGAAGGAGGGAACTGAGGGAGGGAACTGAAGGAGGGAACTGAGGGAGGGAACTGAAGGAGGGAACTGAGGGAGGGAACTGCAGGAGGGAACTGAGCGAGGGAACTGAGGGAGGGAACTGAGGGAGGGAACTGAGGGAGGGAACTGAGGGAGGGAACTGAGGGAGGGAACTGAGGGAGGGAACTGAGGGAGGGAACTGAGGGAGGGAACTGAGGGAGGGAACTGAGGGAAGGAACTGAGGGAGGGAACTGAGGGAGGGAACTGAGGGAGGGAACTGAGGGAGGGAACTGAGGGAGGGAACTGAGGGAGGGAACTGAGGGAGGGAACTGAGGGAGGGAACTGAGGGAGGGAACTGAGGGCGGGAACTGAGGGAGGGAACTGAGGGAGGGAACTGAGGGAGGGAACTGAGGGAGGGAACTGAGGGAGGGAACTGAGGGAGGGAAATGAGGGCGGGAACTGAGGGAGGGAACTGACGGAGGGAACTGAGGGAGGGAACTGACGGAGGGAACTGAGGGAGGGAACTGAGGGAGGGAACTGAGGGAGGGAACTGAGGGAGGGAACTGAGGGAGGGAACTGAGGGAGGGAACTGAGGGAGGGAACTGAGGGAGGGAACTGAGGGAGGGAACTGACGGAGGGAACTGAGGGAGGGAACTGAGGGAGGGAACTGAGGGAGGGAACTGAGGGCGGGAACTGAGGGAGGGAACTGAGGGCGGGAACTGAGGGAGGGAACTGAGGGAGGGAACTGAGGGAGGGAACTGAGGGAGGGAACTGAGGGAGGGAACTGAGGGAGGGAACTGAGGGAGGGAACTGAGGGAGGGAACTGAGGGAGGGAACTGAGGGAGGGAACTGAGGGAGGGAACTGAGGGAGGGAACTGACGGAGGGAACTGAACTGAGGGAGGGAACTGAGGGAGGGAACTGAGGGAGGGAACTGAGGGCGGGAACTGAGGGAGGGGAACTGAGGGAGGGAACTGAGGGAGGGAACTGAGGGAGGGAACTGAGGGAGGGAACTGAGGGAGGGAACTGACGGAGGGGAACTGAGGGAGGGAACTGAGGGAGGGAACTGAGGGAGGGAACTGAGGGCGGGAACTGAGGGAGGGAACTGACGGGAGGGAACTGACGGGAGGGAGAACTGAGGGAGGGAACTGAGGGAGGGAACTGAGGGAGGGAACTGAGGGAGGGAACTGAGGGAGGGAACTGAGGGAGGGAACTGAGGGAGGGAAACTGGGGACTGAGGGAGGGAACTGAGGGAGGGAACTGAGGGAGGGAACTGAGGGAGGGAACTGAGGGAGGGAACTGAGGGAGGTGAACTGAGGGAGGGAACTGAGGGAGGGAACTGAGGGAGGGAACTGAGGGAGGGAACTGACGGAGGGAACTGAGGGAGGGAACTGAGGGAGGGAACTTGAGGGAGGGAACTGAGGGAGGGAACTGAGGAGGGAACTGAGGGAGGGAACTGAGGGAGGGAACTGAGGGAGGGACTGAGGGAGGGAACTGAGGGAAGGGAACTGAGGGAGGGAACTGAGGGAGGGAAACTGAGGGAGGGAACTGAGGGAGGGAACTGAGGGAGGGAACTGAGGGAGGGACACTGAGGGAGGGAACTGAGGGAGGGAACTGAGGGAGGGAAATGAGGGGGGAACTGAGGGAGGGAACTGAGGGAGGGAACTGAGGGAGGGAACTGAGGGAGGGAACTGAGGGAGGGGAACTGAGGGAGGGAACTGAGGGAGGAACTGAGGAGGGACGAGGGGAACTGAGGGGAGGGAACTGACGGAGGGAACTGACGGGAGGGAACTGAGGGAGGGAACTGAGGGAGGGAACTGAGGGAGGGAACTGAGGGAGGGAACTGAGGGAGGGAACTGAGGGAGGGAACTGAGGGAGGGAACTGAGGGAAGGAACTGAGGGAGGGAACTGAGGGAGGGAACTGAGGGAGGGAACTGAGGGAGGGAACTGAGGGAGGGAACTGAGGGAGGGAACTGAGGGAGGGAACTGAGGGAGGGAACTGAGGGAGGGAACTGAGGGCGGGAACTGAGGGAGGGAACTGAGGGAGGGAACTGAGGGAGGGAACTGACGGAGGGAACTGAGGGAGGGAACTGAGGGAGGGAACTGAGGGCGGGAACTGAGGGAGGGAACTGAGGAGGGAACTGAGGGAGGGAACTGAGGGAGGGAACTGAGGGAGGGAACTGAGGGAGGGAACTGAGGGAGGGAACTGAGGGAGGGAACTGAGGGAGGGAACTGAGGGAGGGAACTGAGGGAGGGAACTGAGGGACGGAACTGAGGGAGGGAACTGAGGGAGGGAACTGAGGGAGGGAACTGAGGGAGGGAACTGAGGGAGGGAACTGAGGGAGGGAACTGAGGGAGGGAACTGAGGGAGGGAACTGAGGGAGGGAACTGAGGGAGGGAACTGAGGGAGGGAACTGAGGGAGGGAACTGAGGGAGGGAACTGAGGGAGGGAACTGACGGAGGGAACTGAGGGAGGGAACTGAGGGAGGGAATTGAGGGAGGGAACTGAGGGCGGGAACTGAGGGAGGGAACTGAGGGAGGGAACTGAGGGAGGGAACTGAGGGAGGGAACTGAGGGAGGGAACTGAGGGAGGGAACTGAGGGAGGGAACTGAGGGAGGGAACTGAGGGAGGGAACTGAGGGAGGGAACTGAGGGAGGGAACTGAGGGCGGGAACTGAGGGAGGGAACTGAGGGAGGGAACTGAGGGAGGGAACTGAGGGAGGGAACTGAGGGAGGGAACTGAGGGAGGGAACTGACGGAGGGAACTGAGGGAGGGAACTGAGGGAGGGAACTGAGGGAGGGAACTGAGGGCGGGAACTGAGGGAGGGAACTGACGGAGGGAACTGAGGGAGGGAACTGAGGGAGGGAACTGAGGGAGGGAACTGAGGGAGGGAACTGAGGGAGGGAACTGAGGGAGGGAACTGAGGGAAGGAACTGAGGGAGGGAACTGAGGGAGGGAACTGAGGGAGGGAACTGAGGGAGGGAACTGAGGGAGGGAACTGAGGGAGGGAACTGAGGGAGGGAACTGAGGGAGGGAACTGAGGGAGGGAACTGAGGGCGGGAACTGAGGGAGGGAACTGAGGGAGGGAACTGAGGGAGGGAACTGACGGAGGGAACTGAGGGAGGGAACTGAGGGAGGGAACTGAGGGCGGGAACTGAGGGAGGGAACTGACGGAGGGAACTGAGGGAGGGAACTGAGGGAGGGAACTGAGGGAGGGAACTGAGGGAGGGAACTGACGGAGGGAACTGAGGGAGGGAACTGAGGGAGGGAACTGAGGGAGGGAACTGAGGGCGGGAACTGAGGGAGGGAACTGACGGAGGGAACTGAGGGAGGGAACTGAGGGAGGGAACTGAGGGAGGGAACTGAGGGAGGGAACTGAGGGAGGGAACTGAGGGAGGGAACTGAGGGAAGGAACTGAGGGAGGGAACTGAGGGAGGGAACTGAGGGAGGGAACTGAGGGAGGGAACTGAGGGAGGGAACTGAGGGAGGGAACTGAGGGAGGGAACTGAGGGAGGGAACTGAGGGAGGGAACTGAGGGCGGGAACTGAGGGAGGGAACTGAGGGAGGGAACTGAGGGAGGGAACTGAGGGAGGGAACTGAGGGAGGGAACTGAGGGAGGGAACTGAGGGAGGGAACTGAGGGAGGGAACTGACGGAGGGAACTGAGGGAGGGAACTGAGGGAGGGAACTGAGGGAGGGAACTGAGGGAGGGAACTGAGGGAGGGAACTGAGGGAGGGAACTGAGGGAGGGAACTGAGGGAGGGAACTGACGGGAGGGAACTGACGGAGGGAACTGAGGAGGGAACTGAGGGAGGGAACTGAGGGAGGGAACTGAGGGCGGGAACTGAGGGAGGGAACTGAGGGAGGGAACTGAGGGAGGGAACTGAGGGAGGGAACTGAGGGCGGGAACTGAGGGAGGGAACTGAGGGAGGGAACTGAGGGAGTGGGACTGAGGGAGGGAACTGACGGAGGGAACTGAGGGAGGGAACTGAGGGAGGGAACTGAGGGAGGGAACTGAGGGAGGGAACTGAGGGAGGGAACTGAGGGAGGGAACTGAGGGAGGGAACTGAGGGAGGGAACTGAGGGCGGGAACTGAGGGAGGGAACTGAGGGCGGGAACTGAGGGAGGGAACTGAGGGAGGGAACTGAGGGCGGGAACTGAGGGAGGGAACTGAGGGAGGGAACTGAGGGAGGGAACTGACGGAGGGAACTGAGGGAGGGAACTGAGGGAGGGAACTGACGGAGGGAACTGACGGGAGGGAACTGAGGGAGGGAACTGAGGGAGGGAACTGAGGGAGGGAACTGAGGGCGGGAACTGAGGGAGGGAACTGAGGGCGGGAACTGAGGGAGGGAACTGAGGGAGGGAACTGAGGGCGGGAACTGAGGGAGGGAACTGAGGGAGGGAACTGAGGGAGGGAACTGAGGGAGGGAACTGAGGGAGGGAACTGAGGGAGGGAACTGAGGGAGGGAACTGAGGGAGGGAACTGAGGGAGGGAACTGAGGGAGGGAACTGAGGGCGGGAACTGAGGGAGGGAACTGAGGGAGGGAACTGAGGGAGGGAACTGAGGGAGGGAACTGAGGGAGGGAACTGAAGGAGGGAACTGAGGGAGGGAACTGCAGGAGGGAACTGAGGGAGGGAACTGAAGGAGGGAACTGAGGGAGGGAACTGCAGGAGGGAACTGAGCGAGGGAACTGAGGGAGGGAACTGAGGGAGGGAACTGAGGGAGGGAACTGAGGGAGGGAACTGAGGGAGGGAACTGAGGGAGGGAACTGAGGGAGGGAACTGAGGGAAGGAACTGAGGGAGGGAACTGAGGGAGGGAACTGAGGGAGGGAACTGAGGGAGGGAACTGAGGGAGGGAACTGCAGGAGGGAACTGAGGGAGGGAACTGAAGGAGGGAACTGAGGGAGGGAACTGCAGGAGGGAACTGAGCGAGGGAACTGAGGGAGGGAACTGAGGGAGGGAACTGAGGAAGGGAACTGAGGGAGGGAACTGAGGGAGGGAACTGAGGGAGGGAACTGAGGGAGGGAACTGAGGGAAGGAACTGAGGGAGGGAACTGAGGGAGGGAACTGAGGGAGGGAACTGAGGGAGGGAACTGAGGGAGGGAACTGAGGGAGGGAACTGAGGGAGGGAACTGAGGGAGGGAACTGAGGGAGGGAACTGAGGGCGGGAACTGAGGGAGGGAACTGAGGGCGGGAACTGAGGGAGGGAACTGAGGGAGGGAACTGAGGGAGTGGGACTGAGGGAGTGAGACTGAGGGAGCGGGACTGAGTGCTGGAACCCATCCTGAACTGGAACCCAAGCTGGAACCCATCCTGAACTGGAACCCAAGCTGGAGCCCATCCTGAAAGAGACGTACGGAGTGCTGCTATACCAGGAGCAGATCATGCACATGGCTCGGGACCTCGCGGGGTACTCCCTGGGGCAGGCGGACATGCTGCCTGCACCCCCACTCCCCTTACCCCCTTTTGCTTCCTCCCCAACCTCACCACCCCCTGCTCCCCACCAGCCCTCTGGACGCAGGTCTGGTCGATCGCTACATCAACCGCAAGCACGGGCGCGAGCCGGTGTCCTTCCAGACCCCCAAACTTGAGCCCATCCTGAAGGAAACGTACGGAGTGCTGCTGTACCAGGAGCAGATCATGCGCATGGCACGCGACCTGGCGGGGTACTCCCTGGGGCAGGCGGACATGCTGAGGCGGGCCATGGGGAAGAAGAAGCAGGAGGAGATGGAGGCGCACCACGAGCGGTTCGTGGAGGGCGCTGTGGAGAGAGGGGTGGAAAGAGCGGTGGCGGAGGATTTGTTCGAACAGATGGTGAGTGCAGAGGGAGGTGGGCGATTAGGGATAAATGGGTGAGGCGAGGGGGATGACGGAAGAAGAAGCAGGAGGAGATGGAGGCGCACCACGAGCGGTTTGTGGAGGGCGCTGTGGAGAGAAGGGTTGAGCGGGCTGTGGCGGAGGACCTATTTGAACAGATGGTGAGTGGGGGGTGTGAGAGTGTAGGTTATGTGCGTATTCTGTGTTGGGTGCATGTGGGTGTGCGTTGAGGTAAGAAGCAGGAGGAGATGGAGGCGCACCACGAGCGGTTTGTGGAGGGTGCTGTGGAGAGAGGAGTGGAAAGAGCTGTGGCGGAGGACCTGTTCGAGCAGATGGTGAGTGGTGTGGAAATGCAGGGTATGTTCTGAGTGACAGAAGAAGCAGGAGGAGATGGAGGCGCACCACGAGCGGTTTGTGGAGGGGGCTGTGGAGCGAGGGGTGGAGAGGGCCGTGGCAGAGGATCTGTTTGAACAAATGGTGAGTGGTGAGGGAATTCTAATAAAGGGCCATTCGATGTGAGGGGCATGAGGGATGAATGAGGAAACAAGAGGAGGTTGTAGTACACGAGGAGGGTTCATTGAGGGGATTTTGGATAGAACATCCCTTCTCACCTTTAATCGCTCCCCACTTTTCCTCCCTCCTCACTTCATGCACCCACCACCAGGTGAAATTCTCGCAGTATTGTTTCAACAAGTCCCACAGTGCAGCGTACGGGTATCTCACATACGTGACGGCCTTTCTCAAGGCCAACTACCCTCTGCCCTACATGGCCGCGCTCCTCTCTACCTCCATGCTCGAACCCCCCACCCTCCGCCGATACGTCAACTCCTGCCGTGCTGCTCACATCAACATTCTCCCCCCGTCTGTGAACGCATCTGCTTATGACTTCTCTGTGGAGCTGCTTAAAACGGGGATGGAAGGGGAGGAGGAGCGGGAGGAGGGTTTTGGACAGGTGTCGCCGTCTGGCCCCGCCACGTCAGCTGCGGACGGCGGGATTCGGTTCGGGCTGGCGGGGATTCGGGACGTGAGCAGGGCGGCGGCGGAGGAGATTATTGGGAAGCGGGAGGCGGGCGGCAGGTTTGTCAGTATTCAGGACCTGGTTGACCGCATTGACTTGGGCATGTGGAAAAGACCAACCATTCATGCCCTTGCCCACTCAGGGGCTCTGGATTGCTTAATTCTGGGGGAAGGGGGAGAAGGAGGGGGAGACAGGGGAGGAGAGGGAGGAGGAGGGAGAGACAGGGGAAGAGAGGGAGGAAGGGTTGGGAGCGAGGGAGTGTTGGGGGAAGTGGGAGAGAGTGACAGGGTGAGAGGGGGAGGGAGAGAAGTGGAAGGGGTGGAAGGAGGGGGGGGAGGGCGAGACGGGGGAGAGGAGGTGTATGTGGATAGGAAGGGGTTATCGGAGCTGCTAGAAGGGCTGGTGAAGGGGCGAAAGGAGAGGATAAAAGCGGAGATTAAGGCTGTTGCAAGGCGGGAGCGAGAGCTGGTGATGCAGCAACGGCGAGAGGAGAAGCAGCGGGAGAAAGCAGCTAAGGAGTTGCAGAGACAGCAGGAGAGGCAGGCCAGGGAGGAGAAGAAGGAGCGGGAGAGAGTGGAGAGGGAGCGGAAGAGGGAGCAGCAGAGGATCGAGAGGGAGCAGAAGAAGCTGCTGCAGGGGAAGGGGAGAGGAAGCAAGGTGGAGGCTGCTGTGGTGTTGGGTGATGTGCCCCTTGGGGCTGAAGCTGCTGAGAGCAGCAGCAGGACTGATAGCAGCAGTCGCATTGATAGCCTTGACAGTGACACCATCAGCAGCAGCAGCAGCAGCAGCGGCAGAAGCGATAGCAGCACCCCAACTCTCAGCAGCGTCACTCCCTCCTCCTTGGACGTTCCACTTGCCACCAGCACCAGTGCTGACAATGCTGTCTCACCAGACGATTCCACCACCCCTCCACCTCCCGCCACAGCCCCATTCCCTACCCCTCCCCCCTCTACCACCGCCGTCCCCGCATTCATCATCCCCCCGCCTCCTCCACTCCCCCCGTCCGTCACAGCAGCACTTATCCTCCGTCGCCCCCTGCAAGAAGAGGAGATGGTAGAGAGGCTAGCACAGGAGAAAGCGCTGCTAGGCTTCTACGTCACACAACACCCCGTGGAGGCACTCCTCCCCTCCCTCCCCACATGGCTCTCTCTCACCCCCCTCGCCTCCTGTGCCCACGTGGGCCTGACTAAGGCTTTAGAAGACAGTGCTGCTGCTGCTGCGGCAGCGGCAAGAGGTGGTGGGAGGAGGGGGAGGGGCGGTGGGAGTGCGAAGAGTGGGAAGGACGGGCCGTCGGTGGCGGTGGTGGCAATGGTAGAGGCGGTGAATGTGCGCATAACTAAGAATGGTAACAAGCAGATGGCGAATCTGCAGTTGGATGATGGCACGGGGCAGCTGGAAGCGGTGGTGTTCCCGGACGTGTTTGCCAGGTACGGGTCGAGCCTGAGCAAGGGTGCGACGGTGCTGGCGTGGTGTACTGTTGATGTGGAGTTGGACGATTCGCCTGCTGCTGCTGGGAGCGGTGATAGCAGCAGCAGCAGCGGTAGCAGCAGCAGCAGCAGCAGCAGCAGCAAAGAAGATGGGTCAGCAGATGTGGCTGCCAGACAGGTTTCACTGTCATCTTCAGCAGCAGCAGGAGCAGAGTCAGACACAGAAGCACAGGATGACACCTCCCCCGGACACACCCTCCCCCTAACACCCCCCTCCCTTAACCGACTCCAGCTAATTGTGCAAGCCGCAGTGCCCACCAGCACAGCTCAGTTCTTGCGTATAGACGTGACTCAGGAAGAAGCAGGGGATCCCAAGCACACGAACGCACTCATATCCACGATTCAGCAGGTGAGGCGCGATGCGGACAACAGGCACGAGGCACGGGTGATGCAGCAGGACGTGCAGAGGGACGTGGAGCCTCAGGTGCAGCACTGGGTGCGGATGCAGAGGGCGAGTGCGCCGGGGTCCGTGCCGGTGGTGTTTCGTGTGTGGCCTCACACTGATGCCATGCCTAGAGAGATTGTTGCCAAAAAAGGATCGACGCCATATGGGGACTGGGCGGGTGAGGGGTGGGGAGGGTCTGCCTGGGGTGGTGGGAAGCGGGAGGGAGAGGAGTTGAGATGGGAGAGGGAGAGCAGGAAACCGAAGCATCTTATACGGTCAGACGAGGTATTCTTTGTGGAGGATGCGGAGAGGGCAGTAGAGGAGCTGGGGTATGCAGGGTACCGGGCACGGGTGGTGCCGATTTTGTTGCATGAGTGCTGGGAGAAGAGGAGGGAGGAGGGCCTGTGTGGGTACGATGAGCAACTGGTGGAATAGTTTCTCGTCCAAGTGAGAGGGCGTGTGTGGACGAGCACCGTGCATTCGTGCGAACCTGCACTCATCATGTTCCCAACAGAAGGATGTTGATGTTTCCAATCATTTTCCATTTTTCAATGAATGTGGGCTTTCTTTAATGTTTCATTCGTAAATTGTGATATTGTACAGCCATGTGTCGTATCCCAATCAAGCAATTGCGGTACACACCCATACCAAACGCTGTAGCGGGTGCCACTCATAGCGACATTCGTTTTGCCAAGATCCAGCTATGTATCCACGTGCCTCGTCACGAAAATCCGAGCCAGACCACGATGTACACCAGAGTACCGAACCGTACCTCGAGATCCTGGTCTGGGTGTTCCCTTGGGAATCTCCTGCTTTGGCTCTTCATTATTGAATCCAGCAGGGCTTGCTTGGCGATTTGGATTCTCTGGCTGTCGCAATTTTTGAGGCTCAGGGATTGCTCCGCTGTATCGGCGTGGCGTAGGATTCTGAGAGTGAGGAAGAACTGACGTTTCCAGATCCTTCCTTAGTATTCGTTCTTAAGGACGAGCGTCAGCTGCGTATCGGAATTCTTTAGTCCGCGAAGATGAGGAAGCGCGATTTAGGAATCCTCCTGATATCGGCGTTCGCGGTTTTCATCTGTCTTCAGGTACCGTACTACTGTCCGTCACCATCTCGCCTGGAGCGAAGACGGTGAACCGTCACCGTTTCTTCTTTAAACGATCCGTTCCCGCATTTCAGATACCGTGTCGGATCAGTTTTAGGAGTAAAGTTACTGCCTTCGGATCTTCCGAACATCAAAATGCTGTCACCGATCTTACGTTGCGTCTTCGTCTTCCCTATTCGAACGACCCTGCATGAGAGCAGCTTCACGTTCAGGAGAGTGTGGTTCACGTGCACCGGGTCGGCTACAGCCAGGAGCTCGAGGCGCGTGTGTTCCCTTTGCTACTATCACATAGACTCGTGTGCATTTCCTTTTTTTCCTTTTTCCGCGCTTCCCTGATTGAGCCGAGCAGCATGAGAGCAACTTCACGTTCAGGGAGGCGTGGTTCCACGTGCATCGCGACGACTACAACCAGGAGCTGGAGTCGCACGTGGTGCCGCCGCCCGTGGTGTTCGATCTCAACGGCGACGGCCGCAAGGAGGTCATCCTCGCCACCAGGGACGCGCGCCTGCAGGTCGGGACGCGTGGATTGCCTGTAGGGAGTGTGGATTGTAGGGAGTGTGGATTGTAGGGAGTGTGGATTGTAGGGAGTGTGGATTGTAGGGAGTGTGGATTGCAGGTCGTTCCCCCGTGGTGTTCGATCTCAACGGCGACGGTCGCAAGGAGGTCATCCTCGCCACCCGGGACGCGCGCCTGCAGGTACTGCGTGATTTGCCGATAGGGTGTGGTTTGAATTGAACAGACAATCCGCAAATCCTTTTCCTCTTTTCCAGTTTGTACTAACGACGAAGTTGTGACGGTAATTCGGTGGAAATGGATTCAAAATGTAAATCTCGTGGCGACCTGTGGTGTTACCCCGTGTGTCCCTCCTTGTCCGCGCAGGTGATCGAGCCGTTCACGCCGCCGTCAGGCGAGTCGTACCATCCAGTGCGCGTGCTCAAGGAGGTCTCGCTGCAACCAGGCCAGGTGCGCCCCTCCTCGCTCCTCGCTGCCCGCTCCAGTTTAGTCCAGTCTAGCCTGGCCCGGCCAGCTCTTCATGCCTGTAGAAGCCATTCATCCTTGTTTAGAAGGCTCTGCGAACTAGGATGAATGGGAGTGCTCACATTTTTTACCTACCCCATCAGGGCAATGCCTTCCTACCTGCTTCTCTACTCTAACCGGATCCTTTATGAGTGGCGTATTTCAACTTTGCAGCTCGCATCAGCCGGGTCTGCCGCACCTCGTCCGCGCAACACCACTTCCCCCTCCACCTCCCCTCAACCCCCTTCTCCTCTTTCTCCCCAACTCCCCCTCGAACCCCCCTTTTTTCGTACCCCTCAAATCAGGTTGAGTTGAACCCAGCGGGGCACCAGGCAGTGGCGTTCGCAGTGGGGTATCTGGACCCGCCATCCCTGAAACCCCCCAAGAAGGCGGGCAGTGGCAAGGCGGTGAGCGTGCCGCGGCGCAAGGCGGTGGTGGCGGTGGTGACGGCGGGGTGGGCGGTGCTGTGTTTCGACCACAACCTGAAGCTGCTGTGGGAGACGAGCGTGCAGCACCACTTCCCCCACGGCGCGCGGCACAAGGAGGTGGCCGTGCTCATCGCCAACCACACCATGCACCGGGGGGATAGAGGCGTGGTGATCATCGGCGGATCCATGGAGTCAGACCCGCTGGTGAGGACTCTAGTCTGGATTAGGTTCGGGGCGGGTTCGGATAAGGTATGGAGTGGGCTTTGATTGGGCTTTAGGGTTTGCGCTGCTGGGTGTGTGGGCATGTGGGGGTGGGCGGTGCTGTGTTTCGACCACAACCTGAAGCTGCTGTGGGAGGCGAGCGTGCAGCACCACTTCCCCCACGGCGCTCGCCACAAGGAGGTGGCCGTGCTCATCGCCAACCACACCATGCACCGGGGGGATCGAGGCGTCGTCATTGTTGGTGGATCCATGGAGTCAGACCCACTGGTGAGGGCACTAGTGTGGAGAAGCTTTGGAGTAGGTTTGGGGTAGGTTTGGCGAACCACACCATGCACCGGGGGGATAGAGGCGTGGTGATCATCGGCGGATCCATGGAGTCAGACCTGCTGGTGAGGTCGTAGGTCTGGGACAAGTGTGTGTGGAGTAGTTATAGAGTGAAAGTGTTTTTGGGGCCATGAGTGTGCCGTGCTTGTTCTTTGCATTTCATTTCCGGTCAGTCTTAGGCTGTTCTGGTTCTCTTCGCTTCTGCATGTGTGCTTCGGTGCTATGCGCATGCATTGCATTTGCTTGCACCCTCTATTGCGGCCTGCTGGAAAGGCGAGCTATGAATGCAAGGTACCCATTGATGTCTGTCTGTGTGTGTGCTGTCTCCGACCTGTTGTCGTGGCAGCAATTCGAGGACCCAGTGGAGGAGGAGGAAGCGGAGGAGGAGGGCGAGGAGAAGCACCGCAAGGAGGCCGGGGACAAGGATGTGAGCAGCCCATCCCATCCACCCATGCCATCCCTTCCCACCCAACTCAGTGCTTCTCCCTCCCAATGCACTCTCCTTCCCTTCCCTACGTGCGCTCCCCCACTGTTCCGGTTCTGATTGTCCTTTTGCAACGCAACGCACGCTCCTCGTCTTCTCCTGCCCTTGCTGTGCATTCACTCTTGGACGGGCACTTCTGGGCCCCTGTTTTGCTTCCCCCCTGCTGTGCTTCTCCCCCTACTGTGCGTATCCTTTCTCCCTGCTGTGCGTATCCTTTCTCTCTGCTGTGCGGGCAGGAGCTGGAGGATGTGTCAGAGGGGGCAGCAGGGGTGAACGAGCGCCACTTCTCCTACTACGCCTTTGATGGCGCCACTGGCGCCATGCGCTGGAAGCATGATAGCAAGGTACGTACGGCGTGGCGTGGCATGATCGCTGGGGTGCAGTGCAGCAGCACTGGGCATGGTGAAGGGTGGACTTGCAGGTTGGAATACCATGAAAGGATTGGTATGGCTTCTCACGGTCAGGTCAGCCATACCACGGCTTCTCACGGTCGGCACTGTGCTGGATTACTCTCCTCTATCCACCGTCTCAGGGTCCCTCCGCCGCGGTCTCGTGCCTGTGCTGCCTCCACTCTCAGCAAGCACCTGTGTCCTTCAGTCCGTCACAGCTCTCAAGAGGCAGAACCCGAGAACGTTCTACCGCCCGCCGTAAAGGCTGTCAGGAAGGGGGCACCATTTGCCTACGGCTAGTGGGGTCGGTCCTTTCCAGAATACAGTTACGACTGCGAATGTACTTGCGTTTTGTTATAATGCAAAATCATTCATTAAAAAAAAAAAAAAAAAAAAAAAAAAAAAATCACTATCTCCCCTTGTCCTTCACTCCACCCCGCCTCCCCTACACCCTCCCTTCCCACCTCCCCTCCCCACCGGCTCCCAACACCCCCCCTACATCCACATCCTGTATACCCCTTACATGTGAGCAGGACTTTCATCGCGACATGTCAGCATTGAGCCAGCAGCTGTTGCCGCAGCACAACTACAAGCTCGACGCCTCCTCCCTCTCCTCCCGCCACTTCGGCGAGGTAAGCCCTGCTATATCATGCCCTGCCCTGCCTTCCCCCGCCCCTCCCCGCCCCGTCCCGCCTTGTCCTTCCCTGCACTGCCCCGCCTTGCCTTCTCCGCCTTGCCCTGCTCTGCAATTTTCTGTTACTTTCTGGCGTTCCTTTGAGTTTTTTTCTCTGTGTTCGGTTTGAAAAACATGGAATGCTTTGGGAAATTTGGTTTGCATGCTGTTCTTGCTCTCTCCTCTAACCCCCGCCCTTCTTCAACCCCCACCCTCCTCTACCCTGCCCGATGCCATGCCATACCACTCCATACCACCCGTTACCACATGCCACCGTGCCATACCGTGGCATGTGTGTGAGCAGATGGAGTGTCGCGAGTTCAGAGAGTCCATCTTGAAGCACCTGCCACACCGATGGGTGAGTGCTGCTTTTGTTGAGGCGCCTCAGAAATAGGTTAGGGCATGCCTTGCCATGACATGGCATGTGCATCACCAGATGGAGTGTCGCGAGTTCAGAGAGTCCATTCTGAAGCACCTGCCACACCGATGGGTGAGTGCTGCTGCTCCCCACCCCACCATACACGTACTCCTGTGTGCTGCCATGCGCGGCCATACGCCACCATGCCATGCCATGGCATGTCTGTCGTGAGTTCAGGGCGTCCCTCCTGAAGCACCTGTAGCATCAATGGTTTTCCAACCATAGACTTGCTTGCTCGTATGTGCCGCGATGTGCCGTTTGCTTTCCCGTGTTCAGCCCCTTCTCTCCTACTCCCCGTCTTCCACTCACGCAGCTTGTGCACGCCAGGGAGCGTAGGTCACGATGCTCCACCTTTCAATCCTAACCTAACCCCTTCCTCATGTTTTCCCCCTGCTTCCGCTCTTTCTCTCTCCTCCTCCAGGATCATCGCCATGACACACGCTTCGAGCTCGCCAGCATCCACCGCCACCGCCGCCGCATGCACAAGCGCCTGCCGGGGAGTGGCAGGCACGGGGCGCCACACCATGCGGCACACCCCCACGGCACGCCCCCCCGGCTGCTGGCCGGGCGCGACCACGAGAGGAACGTGTTTGCGCGGGCCGTGGGGAAGGCTGTGGATGCTGCTGGGTCCACCAAGAAGGCCAAGGTGAGTGGGGGGAGGGAAGGCACGGGCAGATTGGGAGGTGTTTCCAGTTCATCCTGTCCGCCTCAGCACATTTCCACCGTTCTGGCCCTCCGTCCAGGTCGCAGGCCTTGACATGTCTTAAATTATCTCCCTCCTGGGCCCTCTCCCCATGATGCACAGCACGGGCAGCACCACGCACACGGCAATGCATCGGCGCACCACTGGTGGGCGCACAACGCGGTGATCGCTCACCTGGAGGAGGGCATCGAGGTGATCCACCTCTACTCCGGTCGCACCATCTGCAAGCTGCTGCTGCCCGACCATGGCCTGCACGCTGATGTCAATGGAGATTGGGTGCTGGACCACGTGCAGGTGAGATGCGGTGCAGTGCGGTGGGGTGCGGTGCAGGTGAGAATAGGAGGGCATAGGTGTCCTTCACCGGCCGCACCATCTGCAAGCTGCTGCTGCCCGACCATGGGCTGCACGCTGACGTCAATGGGGACGGCGTCCTGGATCACGTGCAGGTGAGATGCAGTGGGGTGCGGTGCAATGGGGTTGGGTGAGGGGTGCAGTTGGGGGGGTTCTGTGCAGGCAAGAATAGTGTTGGCATTGGCATGGCACATGAATCGTGCACATGGTGTGAGTGGTGGACGTATGTGCCACTTCATGTGCGGGTTGCATCTGTTGCCACCGATATCAGGCACCAGTGAGACAGCACCACTGCCTTGCTCCCCACGCAACCAATGCATCCCTTTTGCCATTTCCTTGCTCCATGCACCAACTGCACCACAGGCGTCGGGTGCGTTGGGAGACGAGCTGTTCACGTTTGGCAGCGAGGAGGAGGCATCACAGGTGGTCAAGTCCTGCTGGACCATGGCGCTATCCGGCATTCCCCCCACACAGCCGCTCTTCAACGGCTCCATCTGTCGCCCCCACGCCTCTCTCTTCAACCTCGCGTGAGTTCCTGCACGGTGCACCCCGTGAGCCTTGACGCATGTTGAGTCGTGTCAAGGTGCATTAGAGGTGGTCAAGTCGTGCTGGACCATGGCCCTTTCAGGCATTCCTTCCCCTCACACAGCCGCTCTTCAACGGCTCCATCTGCCGTCCCCACGCCTCCCTCTTCAACCTCGCGTGAGTGCCAGTCCCTTCCTTTTTAGCTGTCTCAACGTGCATCTCCTTCCCCTCTGTGTGAGTCTCTTGTTGATTTTGGGGATGGTGGCTTTTGCGCTGCTGACTGAAACATTTTTCCCCTCTTTTTGTCGCCCCTCCTCCTCTCCTCCCCTCTTCCTCTCCTCTTCTCCTTCCCTCCTCCCCCCCTCCACTCCTCGTCCCCTCCCCTCCTCCCGTCCTCCCCTCATCCCCTCCTCCCGTCCTCCCCTCGTCCCCTCCTCCCTTCCTCCCCTGTCACAGCTCTGAGTTCCAGGACCAGTGGAACGAGCATGCAACAGGGCAGCAGCGGGTGGGCGTGGTGGCGCCCATTCTACTGCCACACAGGGACCGCCACCACCGCCACCAGCGGCGCCACGGCGACGTCATCTACTTCAACAGCAGAGGCGAGGTAAGAAGTTGATGCAACAGGGAACGAGCATGCAACAGGGCAGCAGCGGGTGGGCGTGGTGGCGCCCATTCTACTGCCACGCAGGGACCGCCACCACCGCCACCAGCGGCGCCAGGGCGATGTCATCTACTTCAACAGCAGAGGCGAGGTGAGCCCCTCAAGTGCCAGATCAGCACCATGTGGACGCTCCACTATTTTTTTTCTAAACCCGCCTGCCTATTTTTGAGTCGACTCAAAGATCGACTCAAAAGTCGACTCAAAAGTCGACTCAAAAATCGACTCAAAAGTCGACTCAAAAGTCGACTAAAAAATCGACTCAAAAGTCGACTCAAAAGCCGACTCAAAAGTCGACTAAAAAATCGACTCAAAAATCGACTCAAAAATCGACTCAAAAATCGACTCAAAAATCGACTCAAAAATCGACTCAAAAAACGACTCAAAAATCGACTCAAAAATCGACTCAAAAATCGACTCAAAAATCGACTCAAAAATCGACTCAAAAATCGACTCAAAAATCGACTCAAAAATCGACTCAAAAATCGACTCAAAAATAAGTGCCAGATCAGCACTAGTTCTAAACCCGCCTAAACCCGCCTGCCGCACGTGTTCTGGGTCTGCATGTGAACCGCCAGACTCTCTCTCCCCATTCCTCGCAGATCACCTCATATGCAACTGAAGCCCTCAGCTCCAAATGCCCACACGGGCACATGCGGTGGCAGATCAGCACAGACGCCAAGTGGACCCCCGCCGACCCCGCCGCCTCCTTTTGAGGCCCTTCTAATGCTGTTTCGTGTCCGCTTTTGCACCCTCCCCACCGCCCCCTTGCGCACCTCCCAGATCACCTCATACGCAACTGAGGCGCTGAGCAGCAAGGGCCCCCACGGGCACATGCGGTGGCAGATCAGCACAGACGCCAAGTGGACCCCCGCCGACCCCGCCGCCTCCTTCGACTCCTCCGCGCCTCCTGCCCACGTGCCCTCTCTGCGCGCCATGGCTCTTAAAGCCGGGGGGCGGCCGGAGGTGATTCTGGCAGTGGGGGATAACGAGGCGGTGTTTGTGTCTCCTGGAGGGAAGATTCTGGGGACGCTGGCGCTGCCGACGACACCTACAGAGCCGATTATTGTGGCGGATTTTAATGGCGATAGGCTGAATGATTTGATTATCGTCACTGCCATTGGCCCGTATGGGTTCGTTCAGGTGCGCCGCTTGTTTGTTCTTGGCTCTTTCCTGTTTCTGTCTGTCTGTCACTTAGCTTTTTGTTCGCCTATTTTCCACCGTGTGTGCTGCGTGGTCCTGTCGTAGCTTATGTTACCATGCTCTTTGCCCTTCTTTGCCCATCTCTTTGTTGTTTCACGGCTTGACTGTATCCGCATTTCCCATGTTCCCTCATTTGGATTTCCTTTGGATCCCCATCACATGGTCTTTCAGGTGCGGCAACCAGGAGCCATGCTGCTGTCCTCGCTACTGGGATGCCTCGTTATAGTGATGAGTGTCATCTTCGTGTCGCTGCATCTCGACGCGCCTCGTGGTGGCAAGCCACGTGGCCGAAGCACTGACTAGGGGTGCAATGAAACCGTGTGGAAAGAAAAGGTAATTGGCACTCTCATGTGACCCTAAACCCAGTTGTAGGCACCTCTGCTAAAGAAAAGTGAACTCTAGTTAGACGGGCTTTGGAAAAATGGAGTGTGCCTAATCTGTATTGTACCTGTTAGGAGTTCCCTTACTGTAGGTGCATATTGTGGGTTAGAAATTGGAGCACCATGGATCGAGCCTTGAAATTCCAAGATGCTCTTTAAGATAACTCTTGTTGTTTCCTATAACGAGTACGAGGAAGGGAACCCTGTCTGCTCTTGCTCGCGAGCAGGAGCAGCCACTTCCATCGCACCTCTGCAATAGTCTCCCCGTTTCACCATACCACGTTTGCCTACTCTCTCATCACATCCCGTCGCGTGCCGTCGATCGCGCCGCGACGACATTCGCGCGGGAGCATGGCGTCTCTCCGCCGCCTCGCTTCGTCGCGCGCCCCGCTGCAGCTCCGTTCGTTAATCGCCACACGAAGCTTCCTTCCGCCTTCGCACCCCGTCCACCACGCCGACCCTCCCTGTCCATTAGATTTCACCGCTGAGCTAAGAATCGCGTCGCATCTGAACGGCATTTTCGGTTTTCCGCACAGTCCTCTATTCCCCTCTGCGCCCGCATCACCCGGAATGCCTCCGCCTGACGCTTACGCGCAAGTTCCCGCCCAGGCGCAGCCGTGGGGGGAGCACGCGGGGGTGGGGATGGAGTGCGGGCGCGGGGACAAGCGCACGAGGCGGGGGAAGATCTTCAAGGGGTCGTACGGCAACGCGCGGCGGGACAAGAAGCGGGAGAACCAACGGCTCCGGGAAAAGTGGGAGCTGCCACCTGGCAGCAGCGTTGACACAGTCTTAGTCGGCCAGTAGCTCTGCTGACGTGTCAGTACGTGTTCAGTGACGTGGCAGCACGCCCAGGGTAGCACATGGATAAGGCTAGGATGAAATATCTACTGGTTGAGAGGCTAGGGTGTATGCATGGTTAGGTTGTTTGTGCAAGTGCTGTGCTCTGCTGTTTTGTGCAAGCTCTTGTGTGTGTTGCTGCATTCTTATTTGACTTCTTCCCGAGTCTGTGCTTCATGCATGAAAGGCAGTTTTCCTCCCTCCCACCATGCCCACCCTCCTGCCTGGAGCAAGGTTGTCCTGCGATCTGCAATAGGTGTAGCAAGGTACTGTACTCCCTCAACTTGAAGTACCACCATCACAGCAATCTCTTATTGAGGAACACGTGTCATTGAGCATATCGGTAACCATTGAGCATACAAACAAGGGAGCATGCATCACCACCGCCCTGCGTGCCCTGCACTGCCGTCATCGGCTCAAGCAACCGCGGCAGTGCAGCCCACTCACACTTGCTCCAGCCCGAACTGGTCTAGCTGCCCTTTGCACTCTCCCTTCCCTTGGATCAACCAGACGCCTCTCAGTCGCACTTGCCCCTGCCAGCACTAGCACCACCCCCACCGCCTGCCTGCACTGCCTTCACCAGGTCCAACAGCCAAGGTACCACCTCCCCTAGCTGCCATGCTGCTTGCACCCTCCCCTCCTTGCACCGTCTGCATCAGGTACAGGTAACAGCAGCAACTGCAGCCAAAGCACAAACTCACCCCCCTTAGCTGTCCTCTTTATTCAACCGGACGCCACTCAATCGCACTTGCCCCTGCCAGCACTGGTACCACCCCCACCGCCCACCTCTGCCTGCACTGCCTTCACCATGTCCAACAGCCGAGGCACCACCTCCCCTAGCTTCCTTCCCCCCTGCCGCTTACCCCCAGCTGCCCTCCCTGCACTGCCTTCACCAGGTCCCGCAGCCAAAGCAGCCGTGGCACCAACTCACTCCCCCTAGCTGCCCTCTTGCACCTCCCCTCCCTACTATCTACCAGGCGCTCTCAGTCGCATTTACCCCTGCCAGCACTGGCAGCACCCCCACCGCCCACCTCTGCCTGCACTGCCTTCACCAGGTCCAACAGCCGAGGCACCACCTCCTCTAGGCTTTCCTCTTTGCACCCTCCATCCCTGCACTGCCTGCACCAGGTACAGCAGCCACAGCAGCCGTGGCACCAACTCAATCCCCCTTAGCTGCCCTCTTGCAGCCTTACCAGACCCCACTTAGTCGCTCTTGCCCCTGCCAGCACTAGCACCACCCCCACCGCCCACCTCTGCCTGCACCGCCTTCACCAGGTCCAACAGCCGAGGCACCACCTCCCCTAGCTTCCTTCCCCCCTGCCGCTTCTCCCCAGCTGCCCTCCCTGCACTGCCTTCACCTGGTCCAGCACCCAAAGCAGCCGTGGCACCAACTCACTCCCCCTAGCTGCCCTCTTGCACCCTCCCTTCCCTTCTATCTACCAGGCGCTCTCAGTCGCACTTGCCCCGGCCAGCACTCGCACCACCCCCACCGCCCACCTCTGCCTGCACCGCCTTCACCAGGTCCAACAGCCGAGGCACCACCTCCCCTAGCTTCCCCCCTGCTGCCTCCCCCCACCCACCACCCCCACGCTGCCCCCCTCCCCTCCTCTCCCCTTCATCACTCCCGCCAGCAGCAGAATCAGCAGCAGCACCCGCAGCAGCAGAAACAGAAGCAACAGCAGAAACAGCAGCAGAAGTAGCATTAGCACCAGTACCAGCGGCACCAGCGCCCGCAGCAGCAGCCATTGCATCAGATAGCAGTATGTCGCTTACCTGCGGCTCGTCATTTGCTGCTGCAGCTGCGGCTACCGCCCGTGCTCTTTCCTCTTCAACCCGCCTCTGCTCCGCCTCCCCTGCCAATCGCCTCGCTGCTTCCCTCATTACAGTCACACACCGGGTCACAGCGGATGCCAGCTGGCCGCCTTTGGGGAGTATAGCGGGTGCTGACGTGGCGCTTCTGGGAGGTGCCAGGTGGCTGCTGACGTGGAGGATGCTGAGGAGGAGGGTGAGTGTGCGGGAAGCTGAGGTGGCAACATCCTGTTGGGTGTGGCAGGGCATGGTATGGGCGGAGCAGAGACGCAATTGAGATTTCCCTGGTTATGCTGTTGCACAATGGTAGAACAGCTTGCATATCCCATTCAGTCTGTCCCCTTAGCTAACAAAACACAGAAGCACAGAGGCACGCACAGAATGCAAACTGCCCGCCACTTACCAGGGTATAACCAAAGCTGTTCTTGTTTCCCATCGTTTCCGAGCCACCATCTCCCTTCGCTGTAAGCACATTCTCCATAGTCACAGCCAGGGAATCTAGCAGCCATGCCACAGGCAGTTCGGCTCGGGTCCGGTTCGAATCCAGCAGCAATGGCCACACCCAGTCAGCTTCGGCAACCGAACCAGGCAGCGCCGGAGCCAGACCTCCAGGCTCGGCAGAAGGCGGTTGGTTCGATGGAGGGAGCGGGAACGGAAAGGAGGCTCGGGAGGGCAGTGCTTTGGAAACAAAAGTCCGAACCTCTGGAGATGAAGCCTGGAGGGGGGACAGAAGCAGGGAACAAGCAGGCAACAATGAGGGTCGGTGAGTATGGTTTGAATGAGTCAGGACATTGGCAAATCCGACCAGAGGCGAGCATAGGCATGTCCAGCAAGCATGGTTGGTGAACCTCTGAATCCTCATGGATTTGTGTGATCTGATCTGATCTGATCTCAATGAGGAGAGGAGAGTCAGAGCGAGGCTGGGTTGGTGGCATAGAGAGGCCATTGAGGGGCAAGGGCGCTTACAGCGAGGACGAGCAGCACTGTGCCAAACCACTGCCACGTGGCGGGAGACTGGGATGTGGCTGGTGGTGCGGTGAGTGTGCCTGTGGGGCTTATTAGGCTTGTATGGAGGGGGCATTGTGAACTCAAGAGCAAGGGCGCTTACAGCGAGGATGAGCAGCACAGAGTCAAGCCACTGCCACGTGGCGGGAAACTGGAGTGTGGCTGGTGGTGCTGCGTGTGTGCCTGTGGGCTGCTGTGTGGCGGGAGGGCTTGGTGGGATAGAGAGGCCATTGAGGGGCAAGGGCGCTTACAGCTAGGAAGAGCAGCGCAGAGTCAAGCCACTGCCACGTGGCGGGAAACCGGGATGTGGCTGGCGGTGCGGTGTGTGTGTCTGTGGGTGGCTGTGTGGCGGGAGCGCGTGGCTTGGGAGCAGCGAGGGAGGCGTGCGCTGACACGAGGGCTCGACACAGACCAGACTGGTGGGAGGGCATGGGAGGATATGGGAGGGGGTGGGAGGGGGAGGGAATGGGAGGGAATGGGAGGGCGAATTCTGAGACGTATTAAAAGGCAGGGCGCGGCTTGGATGGTGCGAGGGAGGCGTGTGCTGCCACGAGGGCTCGACACAGACCAGACTGGTGGGGGGGCATGGGAGGGTATGGGAGGGCATGGGAGGGCATGGGAGTGGATGACAGGGAATGGGAGGGGATGGGGGGTGATGAGAGGGCATGGGGGGTGATGAGAGGGCATGGGGGGTGATGAGAGGGCATGGGGGGTGATGAGAGGGCATGGGGGGTGATGAGAGGGCATGGGGGGTGATGAGAGGGCATGGGGGGTGATGAGAGGGCATGGGGGGTCATGGGAGGGCATGGGGGGTCATGGGAGGGCATGGAAAGGGAACAAAACAAGTGAGAAAGGGAACATACAAAGGGAACAAAACAAGTGAGAAAGGGAACATACAAAGGGAACAAAACAAGTGAGAAAGGGAACATACAAAGGGAACAAAACAAGTGAGAAAGGGAACATACAAAGGGAACAAAACAAGTGAGAAAGGGAACATACAAAGGGAACAAAACAAGTGAGAAAGGGAACATACAAAGGGAACAAAACAAGTGAGAAAGGGAACATACAAAGGGAACAAAACAAGTGAGAAAGGGAACATACAAAGGGAACAAAACAAGTGAGAAAGGGAACATACAAAGGGAACAAAACAAGTGAGAAAGGGAACATACAAAGGGAACAAAACAAGTGAGAAAGGGAACATACAAAGGGAACAAAACAAGTGAGAAAGGGAACATACAAAGGGAACAAAACAAGTGAGAAAGGGAACATACAAAGGGAACAAAACAAGTGAGAAAGGGAACGTACAAAGGGAACAAAACAAGTGAGAAAGGGAACATACAAAGGGAACAAAACAAGTGAGAAAGGGAACATACAAAGGGAACAAAACAAGTGAGAAAGGGAACATACAAAGGGAACAAAACAAGTGAGAAAGGGAACATACAAAGGGAACAAAACAAGTGAGAAAGGGAACATACAAAGGGAACAAAACAAGTGAGAAAGGGAACATACAAAGGGAACAAAACAAGTGAGAAAGGGAACATACAAAGGGAACAAAACAAGTGAGAAAGGGAACATACAAAGGGAACAAAACAAGTGAGAAAGGGAACATACAAAGGGAACAAAACAAGTGAGAAAGGGAACGTACAAAGGGAACAAAACAAGTGAGAAAGGGAACATACAAAGGGAACAAAACAAGTGAGAAAGGGAACATACAAAGGGAACAAAACAAGTGAGAAAGGGAACATACAAAGGGAACAAAACAAGTGAGAAAGGGAACATACAAAGGGAACAAAACAAGTGAGAAAGGGAACATACAAAGGGAACAAAACAAGTGAGAAAGGGAACATACAAAGGGAACAAAACAAGTGAGAAAGGGAACATACAAAGGGAACAAAACAAGTGAGAAAGGGAACATACAAAGGGAACAAAACAAGTGAGAAAGGGAACGTACAAAGGGAACAAAACAAGTGAGAAAGGGAACATACAAAGGGAACAAAACAAGTGAGAAAGGGAACATACAAAGGGAACAAAACAAGTGAGAAAGGGAACATACAAAGGGAACAAAACAAGTGAGAAAGGGAACATACAAAGGGAACAAAACAAGTGAGAAAGGGAACATACAAAGGGAACAAAACAAGTGAGAAAGGGAACATACAAAGGGAACAAAACAAGTGAGAAAGGGAACATACAAAGGGAACAAAACAAGTGAGAAAGGGAACATACAAAGGGAACAAAACAAGTGAGAAAGGGAACATACAAAGGGAACAAAACAAGTGAGAAAGGGAACATACAAAGGGAACAAAACAAGTGAGAAAGGGAACATACAAAGGGAACAAAACAAGTGAGAAAGGGAACATACAAAGGGAACAAAACAAGTGAGAAAGGGAACATACAAAGGGAACAAAACAAGTGAGAAAGGGGAACATACAAAGGGAACAAAACAAGTGAGAAAGGGAACAGTACAAAGGGAACAAAACAAGTGAGAAAGGGAACATACAAAGGGAACAAAACAAGTGAGAAAGGGAACATACAAAGGGAACAAAACAAGTGAGAAAGGGAACATACAAAGGGAACAAAACAAGTGAGAAAGGGAACATACAAAGGGAACAAAACAAGTGAGAAAGGGAACATACAAAGGGAACAAAACAAGTGAGAAAGGGAACATACAAAGGGAACAAAACAAGTGAGAAAGGGAACATACAAAGGGAACAAAACAAGTGAGAAAGGGAACATACAAAGGGAACAAAACAAGTGAGAAAGGGAACATACAAAGGGAACAAAACAAGTGAGAAAGGGAACATACAAAGGGAACAAAACAAGTGAGAAAGGGAACATACAAAGGGAACAAAACAAGTGAGAAAGGGAACGTACAAAGGGAACAAAACAAGTGAGAAAGGGAACATACAAAGGGAACAAAACAAGTGAGAAAGGGAACATACAAAGGGAACAAAACAAGTGAGAAAGGGAACATACAAAGGGAACAAAACAAGTGAGAAAGGGAACATACAAAGGGAACAAAACAAGTGAGAAAGGGAACATACAAAGGGAACAAAACAAGTGAGAAAGGGAACATACAAAGGGAACAAAACAAGTGAGAAAGGGAACATACAAAGGGAACAAAACAAGTGAGAAAGGGAACATACAAAGGGAACAAAACAAGTGAGAAAGGGAACATACAAAGGGAACAAAACAAGTGAGAAAGGGAACGTACAAAGGGAACAAAACAAGTGAGAAAGGGAACATACAAAGGGAACAAAACAAGTGAGAAAGGGAACATACAAAGGGAACAAAACAAGTGAGAAAGGGAACATACAAAGGGAACAAAACAAGTGAGAAAGGGAACATACAAAGGGAACAAAACAAGTGAGAAAGGGAACATACAAAGGGAACAAAACAAGTGAGAAAGGGAACATACAAAGGGAACAAAACAAGTGAGAAAGGGAACATACAAAGGGAACAAAACAAGTGAGAAAGGGAACATACAAAGGGAACAAAACAAGTGAGAAAGGGAACATACAAAGGGAACAAAACAAGTGAGAAAGGGAACATACAAAGGGAACAAAACAAGTGAGAAAGGGAACATACAAAGGGAACAAAACAAGTGAGAAAGGGAACATACAAAGGGAACAAAACAAGTGAGAAAGGGAACATACAAAGGGAACAAAACAAGTGAGAAAGGGAACATACAAAGGGAACAAAACAAGTGAGAAAGGGAACATACAAAGGGAACAAAACAAGTGAGAAAGGGAACATACAAAGGGAACAAAACAAGTGAGAAAGGGAACATACAAAGGGAACAAAACAAGTGAGAAAGGGAACATACAAAGGGAACAAAACAAGTGAGAAAGGGAACATACAAAGGGAACAAAACAAGTGAGAAAGGGAACATACAAAGGGAACAAAACAAGTGAGAAAGGGAACATACAAAGGGAACAAAACAAGTGAGAAAGGGAACATACAAAGGGAACAAAACAAGTGAGAAAGGGAACATACAAAGGGAACAAAACAAGTGAGAAAGGGAACATACAAAGGGAACAAAACAAGTGAGAAAGGGAACATACAAAGGGAACAAAACAAGTGAGAAAGGGAACATACAAAGGGAACAAAACAAGTGAGAAAGGGAACATACAAAGGGAACAAAACAAGTGAGAAAGGGAACATACAAAGGGAACAAAACAAGTGAGAAAGGGAACATACAAAGGGAACAAAACAAGTGAGAAAGGGAACATACAAAGGGAACAAAACAAGTGAGAAAGGGAACATACAAAGGGAACAAAACAAGTGAGAAAGGGAACATACAAAGGGAACAAAACAAGTGAGAAAGGGAACATACAAAGGGAACAAAACAAGTGAGAAAGGGAACATACAAAGGGAACAAAACAAGTGAGAAAGGGAACATACAAAGGGAACAAAACAAGTGAGAAAGGGAACATACAAAGGGAACAAAACAAGTGAGAAAGGGAACATACAAAGGGAACAAAACAAGTGAGAAAGGGAACATACAAAGGGAACAAAACAAGTGAGAAAGGGAACATACAAAGGGAACAAAACAAGTGAGAAAGGGAACATACAAAGGGAACAAAACAAGTGAGAAAGGGAACATACAAAGGGAACAAAACAAGTGAGAAAGGGAACATACAAAGGGAACAAAACAAGTGAGAAAGGGAACATACAAAGGGAACAAAACAAGTGAGAAAGGGAACATACAAAGGGAACAAAACAAGTGAGAAAGGGAACATACAAAGGGAACAAAACAAGTGAGAAAGGGAACATACAAAGGGAACAAAACAAGTGAGAAAGGGAACATACAAAGGGAACAAAACAAGTGAGAAAGGGAACATACAAAGGGAACAAAACAAGTGAGAAAGGGAACATACAAAGGGAACAAAACAAGTGAGAAAGGGAACATACAAAGGGAACAAAACAAGTGAGAAAGGGAACATACAAAGGGAACAAAACAAGTGAGAAAGGGAACATACAAAGGGAACAAAACAAGTGAGAAAGGGAACATACAAAGGGAACAAAACAAGTGAGAAAGGGAACATACAAAGGGAACAAAACAAGTGAGAAAGGGAACATACAAAGGGAACAAAACAAGTGAGAAAGGGAACATACAAAGGGAACAAAACAAGTGAGAAAGGGAACATACAAAGGGAACAAAACAAGTGAGAAAGGGAACATACAAAGGGAACAAAACAAGTGAGAAAGGGAACATACAAAGGGAACAAAACAAGTGAGAAAGGGAACATACAAAGGGAACAAAACAAGTGAGAAAGGGAACATACAAAGGGAACAAAACAAGTGAGAAAGGGAACATACAAAGGGAACAAAACAAGTGAGAAAGGGAACATACAAAGGGAACAAAACAAGTGAGAAAGGGAACATACAAAGGGAACAAAACAAGTGAGAAAGGGAACATACAAAGGGAACAAAACAAGTGAGAAAGGGAACATACAAAGGGAACAAAACAAGTGAGAAAGGGAACATACAAAGGGAACAAAACAAGTGAGAAAGGGAACGTACAAAGGGAACAAAACAAGTGAGAAAGGGAACATACAAAGGGAACAAAACAAGTGAGAAAGGGAACATACAAAGGGAACAAAACAAGTGAGAAAGGGAACATACAAAGGGAACAAAACAAGTGAGAAAGGGAACATACAAAGGGAACAAAACAAGTGAGAAAGGGAACATACAAAGGGAACAAAACAAGTGAGAAAGGGAACATACAAAGGGAACAAAACAAGTGAGAAAGGGAACATACAAAGGGAACAAAACAAGTGAGAAAGGGAACATACAAAGGGAACAAA